TACAGACTTCATTAACACGGTTGTTCTCCGTACACAAAAACTGCTCCAACAGAATTACGAGGAAAAGCGACTGAAATAGAAACTACATGTGTTTTACTGTTACTAACACGATATGATTGACCGATTCAATGTGTCGGTGTCTCAACTCACAAACGACATGTTTTCGCGGTCTTAGATCTTTAAATACCAGTAAAGTCGTCTGATCTGAAATTTTGTTTCTGTGCTATATCCGTCACTTTTACTGAGTGTGAATTTGCGTGGCGGGGGATACATGGATATGAGTATAGGCTTGCGCTGGCGGCGCATCCGATCTCGCTCCTTTTAGGGTTCATGAGATTTCTTCAGTTACGTTTTTTACCTGTATTTGTATGTTCATAATCGATTTGCGAGATTTGAACATCGTTAAACTACTGTCGCCTTAATTTACCCTTGTGATTGTTATGTGAATATGACCCATATTAACTTAGATTTGATCTTATGTTCATATAAATTAACGATTTTTGATTTCATGATTTAATTAAAATCTGCATACAAGCCTATAGAAAATGTGCATTTCGTTGAACATTTTTAGTCGTTGTTAATCATGTTCACGAAATCTACGAAAATAGGTACTCAACGAATAATAATGATTCAACAGTATGATGAATACTTGTACATAAAAAAAATTTATGAACTTTTTCCTGATTTGAATGCATATTTTTGTTCTCCGGTCTCATTTTGAAAGACATATTACTATCCATTTCATCACAATACTGTTTTTAGAACATGTAGTTATTGTTTGATTAAAGCTAAATAGTAATCAGTGTTGCTAATTTTATTCAACTTAATACATGGGCTATCAAATGGTTTTAATTTGAATGCCGTTGGTGAGTCTTATGAAGATGACACCCACGTTTGGCGTACTTAATTATAAACCAGGTATCCGCCAAATTTAATAAAAAAAAAATAATATTTACGGTGTTGAATGGAAAACATATATACATTCGTAGAGTTGTCACACATTTAAACGTACATTTGTATATAACAGAAAGATATTGATGTGACTGCATGGTAAGTACATATATTTATCAATCTTAACGACTGACAAAAATAGCTGATCTGCAAGGTTTTCCATCTACATGCCACCCTAAATCATGTACTGCGTTATGAACCTAGGTAAAGCTGACGAAGAAAGGCATCATTCGAAAATCTAAAGCTATATAGCCAAGTTAGCCTAGTGGTTTAGGATATTGAACGTGCATGCGGAATGCCAACGATGTCACAGACACAGGGGTTCAAAAATCGTTGAGGGAAGAACAAACACTTGCTTACTCGAATTTGTAATTCGATGGAAACAGTCAGTCGTAGAGTATATATATATATATATATATAATTCGTCTCAAATTTAGCCCAACACTGTTAGATCTTCAAATTTGCGTTAGCACATTTTTGTTCTTCCCTCAGCGGAATTCGAACCCTTGCTTCTGATACATCGTAGCAAGGGTTCGAACAAAAGTTTGCTAACGCAAATTTGAAGATCTAACATTGCTGGGCTAAATTTGAGACGAATTATATATATATATATATATATATTATGGTGTTAGCCCTATATAACCACATGTTATCCGATGGAGAATGTCTGTCATAAGTTGTCACATGTTTAGTCGTGTGTGTATATATATATATATATATAAGAAAACATCCACACAAATCACATTGTAAGAAAACAAGTATATAAAAAATACCGAACTCCAATGTAAATAAAAAAAAAAGAGGAAGTCCATAAAAAGTGACAAAATCAAACGTTAGACTTTATCAACCAATGGAACTAATGGAAAATAACTGTAATATTGCTGACTTGATACAGACATTTTCCAAAGAAAACGGTGGGTTAAACCTGGTTGTATAGCTAGATAAATAACTCACTTGTATGACAGTTGTTTGAAGTGATATTGGTTGAGTAACCCAAACATACATAGCATGTTAATGTGACAATAAAGTAGATTGAAAATGTCTCGTTAGACTTTTTCTATATAAGATTAATAATACAATAAGATTGTTCATAATTACTCGTTGGTTGTAATTAGTAACTTTCCGTAATATATATCATTTTCCGACATTTCCAGTGTAAGATTCTGGTACTACGCAGAATCCATTATAACAACTGCGATTCTTATGTTAGTTTCTTTGATTATCTCGTACCTCTCATTTCATTATTTATGTACGATTTGCAATTATTTTCTGTTGAAATTTGACTGGATTTGTCAATGTGCTAAAGTCGAATAAGGAAAATTTTATATGAATTCACAGTAGTTATCAAGTATTTTTGCTGTAGTATAACCTCTCTTGTTTCTTATAAAGAATTCCTCTTTATCTTTATCTTTGGAAAGGCGAAGTTTTCTGCAAAGTTCCGAAATGATATCCTTAATTCTTAATAGTTTGATTTCTGAGGCGTTGGGGTAATTTTAAGTCCATTTGATAAAATATTCAAAGTATTATAAAAGTAAATGTTGCAAACACTGCTTCTGGTATCCAAGGTTTAAGGAAGACTTCAAAGCGTACTAAAAGTAATTGGTCAAAAAGACCTCATGTCGGAGCAGTTTCGACTGAATTGCACAGACGTGCATGAGAGTGTTGTCATACATTAGGGACTTTGTGGAATTGGAGCCGAAATAGTTTCAGCGATGAGTCATGATTCCCCCACTCCCCCCCCCCCCCCCAAAAAAAAATGTGATTAACGAACCCGCGTGTACAGGCGATTCCGAAAGTTGACAAATTTGGCGGTGTTACCGTATTGATGGCGCAGCAACAGCATACAACCGCAGAACAACCCTAGTAAATGCTCGAGGAAATTTAACGGCTCAACATTATAAAGACAAAATTTTGTAACCACATATCCTCACTGTTATTTACCAATGGAGAGAGATGTTTCATCAGGGCAATGCTCATCCCCATACAGCAAGGGTAAACGTGGATTTCCTGTGAACAACATTACTGTATTGCCATTGCTCTAAAAGACGCTTGATTTGGACCGATAGAACATCTGCGGGTAGAACTTGATAATTGGTGATAATATTTTTAATCTTGTGATAACTTCCCTTTTTCACTGAACTCTAACAACCGTCATACAAGTGGGAGGTTTAGCTGGCTATATAACTAGATTTTACCCACCATTTTCTTTGAAAAATGCCTGTAACAAGTCAAGAATATGACATTTTTTTAACTGCTGTTTTTATGGACTTCTCCCTTTTTGATTTTACCTTGGATGTATTTTTATCAATACTTTTTACCCTTTAGATTCGTATTCCATGTTTATCGAAATTATATTGCGGTCAGTCCGATTTGTTTGTCCTATTCATATTAATTTCTATCCAAGTTTTTAACATAACATTAATGGTACATATTTTACAACAAATATCGGTATATGCCACATGGTTTTCCGAATGTTTGTACTATTTTTTGAATTTTAAAAGTAGATAGTCGGACAAATTCTTTTCCTTTTAGTCTATATTTTCTTTACATGTCTTCTCGTCTGTGTGCAAAATACACATACGCAGTGTTATCGACATTTATCAATGAATTCCATTCAATCCAGTGTAAATTGACTTTCTTGAAATTATATTAAGGAATGGTCTTTTGTCGTGTAGAAGATTTAATTGTGATTTGAACATAAATTAAAGTGGTGTTCCTTTGCTTTTGTTTTTAAAGGATTTCGGGTCACGAATTAATGAATCATATACCGTCTTATTCATTACATCGCGTTTATCTCCGACTTGCTGTTTGGTTGCCATAAAAAGTGTCCCCGTGGTTAAAGGTGTTATGTTTTTTAATTCAATGGGTATCTTTTCTTGAGATAACTCCTCTTATGTGCATTTCTTCACTGTTTTCCTTCGATTTTTTATCTTTATCGAATTTGTTGTGCAGTCCTTCTGAATTGTTTTCCATTCATTTTCATACATTATCATTCTTCTCAAGTAACTTAAAAAAATATCTTGCAACGCAGCAACACAAATAAACCAAAGTGGTAATCTAGAAATCACCATAAGATACTTTTGGGCCGTTAATGTAAAGGCAATCCTTTTGTATGAAGTAAAGTTGTTATTTTTCTTTCTTGCTTGTATGTAAGTATGTATAGAAAAAAATAATGTCGACAATGTCTGCAAGTATGATAAAATACACAATAAGTTTCCATTGAAGAGTTGAATGACTAGTTTGTTTTGGTCAGCATATATTGTGTGTATTTTTTCAATGCCTACAATCTACTAGCGTTGCAGAATAATTGAACAAGTAAACTATGTTAAATATTAAAATTATGGCCCGGATGTTAAACATTTTGAACATTTATAAAGAATAGAAATATAACAAACAGTTTTAACATTCATATATTGTCCTCAAATTTATATGACGGTTCTTTATATAACACTACCAAATAAAGCTGAGCTCCCGCATTATGTTACCACCTTTTGTTGGTAAGTAAAAGTATTTTTGTTCGGTTTTGAGAGATAGATATGCATTGTAAAATTTAAAAAAACAATCTTTTTCTGTCAAGGATATAGAAATAAAGTTAAGTATGTACATCTTTGGTTCTATGCATAATCATTTCATTTACCAGTGTCACGTTCATTTCAGAATTTATTTTGCAAATTAAAATTGTAAATTTTCAAACAAGGGCAGAAGTCAAAATACATACACATTTAAAATATAATAGTGATATGATGTAATTAAAAAAAGGAAACAGTTTCAGTTTTCAGGATTTTTTCATAATTTGATATTGTATTATATTGTAATATATTGTACTGAAAATTGATATATATATAGTCAAGCAAGCTTAATATAACCGAAGGACAAAAACAATCATCATTTACAGGAGTAGGTATAATGCTAGTTAAAACATAAGAAGGTGTACATTGTTCTGTGTTTTTTGCACATGTTCACCACAGAAAGGAGAAGGTTCCATAAGGCCCTAAATGGCCCCTATTTCTAGATAAAATTTCAAATAAGATTAATTGACCAATAGTACAATGAATCATGAACTAGGTATGTATATCTATTAAAAAACTTACAAGAAACATATTTTCTAGTAAAGCTGAAATGTCATGGTAAATCTCAGATGACGCAATTAATTTTTCAAACACTCATAGAAAAATAATCTATGTTAATTTCTGCAAAAAGTGCTGCAACAATTATCCTATATATACCTTTTGATTTTAATATCATGCATTTAATGTTTGGTAAATTTCACAACATGTAAACAATTATCTTAGTGATACAAAGATGAAGGAATATTTTTAACAAACGCTTCCATAGTCTCCTTTTGCATTATGTTTAGTTATATAAAAAGTAATAAGTATCTATAAAAAAATTAACCACAAACAAGTCGTATTACTGATACTCATTAAAGGGCGATTTCCCATTTAGACAATTTATCACTAGGACGATTTGACTTATTGACACCATAAGGTTGTTTTTTATTCTCTACAAAGAATTGATCAGAAATGACAGCTTCCAGGTTCCATTGTTCTTAAACACAATGAAAAATCCATAACCCCCTAAGAACACTGTATTTGCTAATGTAAGTAACCTTTTAGCATAAGTTTGTACTTTACTAATTGGGCAGATCTTTTCTATCTTTTGTTTTTAATATTTGATGAGTTTCTACAACAATTTGGCCATGTATATATGAAGACAAAGACACAAAGTTAGGTATTGTCTATGGTAAAGATTAAATCATTTTTTTGAAAAAAATTGAAAACAACACGTTTAATAATTTCATGCGTCCGAAGCGCTTTTCTGGATTTACCTTCATCAGGAACGCTCAAAGCCAAACATTTGAAATCCGAAAGTATACGGACGCTATAATATTGTTGACTGTTATGGAGTATTTGTGTCATACATGACTACGGCTTGTAGCCCAACTTATGTCCTCTCTCTTTGTTTGTGACCTCACCGAGTGCAAATTAATTTCAGATGTTTACTTATCAAGGCCCTCAAAAATCACTAGTGGAGCTGTAACTGCTTACCAAACCGGGTTTTTATGGAAATTCTTGTTATCTGTGAAGAGTTTTGTGGGCTAGTGTTTGTCTGTTGTTCATATTTTTGATTACACAAGGTGTTATTTGTCTTTTTTGTGAATATATGATTTGTAATAACCCCCCATGTAACTTCTTTATTTTTTGTTGTAATTAAATGTAACTCTCTGTTCTATATCGTGATCTACCCTTTTCACTGGTTACCTTTACTTCCAATGATATTATAAATTACATAATTAGTGATGGGATATAAGTCTCTAACGTAAAAAAAAGTTAATTGCTCCGGAAATTGAATTTAATTGTAAATTGAAAACATGTTATCATGAATCTTCAAATGACAAATATTCGAATATAGTTTTCTAATTGTTGTTGTTTCCTTTTTGTTGTGTTTCTGTTTATAAATACACAGTGTTTCAAACAATTTCATTTGGGAGAATATCTGGATGAATTATGAGTATGGGTTGTTTGTATGATTATCAGTTGTTTTGAATAATAGCATAATGGCTACAAATAACAATAAGGCTACCCATTCATGGTACCAATTTTCTAAACCAGATGCTCATTTCGACATTAAATTTCTCTTCAGTGATGCTCGAGGCCAAAATATTTGAAAATCAAAAACTTATTACAAACATGAAGAGCTTATTAACCAAAAAGGACATTAAGTATAGCTAATGCCGGGCAAGGAATCCGAGTTTTGCATGAGGGAGATGTATTTCTTAGTTTGAAATAATTATTTCAAAATTTTGTAACAGTAAATTTTAATCAAACAATATCCGTATTTTCATCCCAGTACCGAAGTACTGGCTACTGAGCTGGTGATACCTTCGAAGACTAGCCGTCCACCAGCAGAGGAATCGACCCATTGGAATTAATAACTGTAACGGTATCAATTTTTCTTCACCAGAGGCTCATTTGGACAACAAAATGTCTCTTCATTGATGTTCCAGGACAAAATATTTGATAATCCAAAACTTTAAAAAAAGAAAAAAAAAGAGCTTATAAACAAAAAAGGGCAAAAAGAATAGCCACCTATCATATTTTTTTATATATTGTATTCATATTTAAGATCCCTAGAAAATAAACATTGATATGTTTAATATTTATAGTATAACCTGATAAACCATGCCATAATGTTTATCTATTTATTTTTATCGATATCTTATTCGGTGACCTTTTATCTGATTATGTTTTGTCAATTGTTCATTGCAGATATTAAGTTGTTTGTAATATTTCTCGATTGTTCATAGCAGATATTTTAAAAGTTGTTTGTGATCTGTCTTAATATAAATCTTAAACCAACATCATTCTTATTCATAATACTTTTTACTGTTAAAGTTTAATTTTTCGCGCGAGGGTGAAATTTGCTTATTTTGCGATCACGTAAACTATGAGAAATATTACGAGCGCGAGAAATTTGCACAATGCAACAACACAGATTAGAAGGGCGCACTTATCGTTAGATGCACGAAATTTAACCGCAGAAAGAAATAATAATGAATCGAAATCGTGAATATATCCACGTTAACAGTGATTCTTCATGACGAACAAGTAGTTTTAACATACAGAAACAATTCTTGAATTTTCATAAAAATATTTTGAAGCTTATATACATTAGACTAAACATTTATATAAAAAAACTAATATTCTTTCTAATAGTTTTTCTAACAGTATTACACGCATCGGGAGGGTTGAAACCACGTCCAGAAAAACCAGTTTACAGTCCATCGTTAGAAACAAAGCTAAGGCATGAATTATTCATGGGTTATGAGGTGTTACAGAACCCTCGCGAGAACGTCAAAATATTTATCAGGCTAACCATTCTAACTGTCAACAACCTGGTAATTATATATGTATATAAATACAATTACATATCCTACAGCTATTTCCAAGCTTTTTTTAAAATTTTGATTGCCTGTATTATTTTATATTTGTGTTTTCAGATTATTGTATTATATCTTTAAGATATTATGGAATAAGTTACTGCTTCTGTCCAATATATTGAAGAAGAAAATGTTTTGGTTATTTTTACAACAATATCATGAGTGTCTACAGTAGTACAATAAGTTTATCATAATGTAAAATTGGTCTGTCTTTGATAAAAAAATATCTTTTCTATTTAAATTAAGTTCTACTCAAAATTTAGAATTGCTGAAACACTTTATGCTTATGCCTCAGTAACAATATTTCACATGAAAAATCAAAAGTATATTAGTTTTTCTTCAAAATGAAGTAGAAAGTGGACGTTTTAAAACTGTTGACCATGTATATAAATGAGCAATATTGTGTTAGAGTCGATGTTATTTCTTCATCACTTTTGTTTAAGAATATTAAAGACCAAGAACTATCAATATCCGGATACCTGTCTGTTGTAAGTACGATAAAGATTCTTTTATTTTTTTTTTCAAATATACATATTTTGGATATTTGATGACCTGTGATTGTTTTTTTTTTTTATGAAGACGGCTTGTTTGCAGTTTGATAAAAACTGGAAATTTTTATTCAGGTGATGATGATGATTGTTGGTGTTTTATGCTACTTTAAGCACTATTGGATATATCATTGCACTTAGCTTTTTTTAGTGGAGGAACCCGGAGCGCCCGGAGAGAACCACCTACCTACGATAGAAAAACTAACAATCCTAGTCAATTAAGGCTGGAGTCAGACGCACCTGCAACGTGTGGGGTTCAACAATACTACCTCAGTGTTGAAATACTAGTGATGCAGAAGGTGTACTACTTAGACCACTCGGCCACCGAGTGCAAATATCTTATGCGATATATTTTGCAGTCTTATGCCGTAAGGAATAAATAGTTCTTTATACATGTCACCTGATACGTATTTTAATTTAGTTGAAATATCCAAGCAAATGAATTAAGTTATTTGGATTGAAAATTATATTCAAAGGGAAATCAAAAATATATTTGCATTTTGAAGCAACAATACATACTTTTTTTTAATTAAATTTTGGTATTTTTTATAATGCAAAAAGAACAAAATAAGGCAACAATAGGTTACCGATGTTCAAATCTTTTAAATCGACAAGAACGTTACACTTTCTTTTTTAGTTTGAGAAAGTTAGCTCAAATGACGACATGACAATAATCAATCTGAGTTTGCCTAACAGTATACTTAGTAACTAACATTTTATATATTTATAAAAAATCAATAGCTTTAAGAAAAATTCTCAAAAAAGTATATTTCCATTTGCTTAAAGGGACATTAAAAATGCATCAGTCGAAATGAAGTGACATATACAAACACGTCTGGTGAATGAACTTGCACGAACATATTTTGTCTGACAGAAGTTTATTATTCCGCTAAACATGAACTCTTTGTTGACAAATTTAATTTTACAAATATCGTAATCTTATTTTTATCCGATAATCTCTTTGAATATATCATATATGATACATAAGGGTACTGTGTGTCCTTTTTTTATACAGTAAAGTGTTTATAAAATATAAATTTGTAATCCAAAGTATTGATTTGAACTTTAATGTTTATATAAGTGAAACATTTAAATGACATTACTTTTATCACCGTATGGGAGCGACACTGTTTATTGGTACTAGCTGAAGCGGAGATAGGTTGTAAAATGCAAGCTGTCGTACATATCACTAATAATTTGTCGTACACTATCCAAGCTTTGTCTTTGTGATTTACATAACTGTAAAAGACATTTTATGAAAATTTTGGTCTTGATTATTTATAGTTGGTAATAATGGGAAGAAATATCCAATTTTTAGGAGCAATCAACCACCTTCTTTTCTTGATCTGAAGTAATCAATGCATTGTTTTTCTGGTACTAAATGGTTGTTTTTTTTATCTCCAGATTTAATTTACGCTGATGTCTAACATTCCTTAACTATTTGGAGAATAGGTCAATTCCCACCATATAATTATACAAATGGAATTTTTACCTGTGATTACAAATTTTTACAATCTCTCTTCGCTTCAGCTAGTACCAATATCCGGTGTCACTCCCATATGGTGTTTATCATGCAGAAGGTAAACCAATACTTGCTCCTAATGAAAGAATTACATATTAAGGCTACTACAAATGAAACACAAACCAAATGTATCAAGCAAGATAAACAAATAGCGATTAATGTAAATGTACTTTTATTGCGTCATATGATTTCTTGCAATAATGGCAAAAACGTTCGACTTCGTGAATAATTTTACAATTTAAGGTGCACTTACCGCTTCATTATCGAAAATATGCATACAGGGTATACATTTCATGTCATTATGACATTGTATTCACTAGACGCTTTACGTGAAATTATCTAGGGTATTAACATTAAGATATTTTTCATGTGCTGTTAAGGTTTGGCAGGATTCTAGATTAGACTGGTCAAACAGTTCCACTACCTCGGAAGACTTTACCAATGTAAGATTTCTCTTCACTACAGAGGAGTATGTTTGGAGACCCGCGCTTATCATAGAAAACTCGTAAGTTTAGTGCACCCCAATGATCATTTAAATATTCGTAAATTAATGAAATGTTGAGAACCGATATTCTTTATTATATATTTTTAAATTCACGTTGTAGATTCTTAAATACTACAATGGTGTAGTAAACAAACTTCTCTGATTTAACAGTCAAAATGAAGAAAAAATCTCCTTTTGATTGGAGCGGTGATATAAAAAAACTTAATCGGAAAAGTTTCCTAAACTAACATAATTTGATATTTCTATGTAAAATTTTATTGGCAGCTTATATGTAGACATTCAAATCAAAACAAGATTATATAAAAATTGATGTTCCATTTCAGAGTTAAGGACATAGGAATTATCAATGATAAATCAATTCCAATGCGAATTGTAAGTGATGGAACTATAGTTTGGAATCCATCGGGCATATACGAAGTAAACTGTGAATCTGACATTACGTACTATCCATTGGACACACAAGAATGTACGGTAAAAATAAGTTCCTGGGCATACACAACATCAGATGTTTCATTAGACTTTGAAGCTAATCCTGTAGACCTCAGTTTCTTTTCAGCAAATGGTGAATGGGATCTTGTTTCTGCATCAAGTAGCAGATCAAGGTTAAAATCAAGAAGAGGAATTTCGTTTTCAAGTTTGACTTATTCACTCAAGCTCCAGCGCCGTCCGATGTTTCACGTCATTAACACGTTATTCCCTGTTGCATTGATGGCAATATTAATTGCTATGGTTTACAAGCTACCGGCTAAATCAGGACAGAAAATAGGTTTCTCACTGACGGTTTTATTAGCCTATGCTGTATATTTGACCATGATTTCGGACAATATTCCTAGTACCTCTGTCAATATTTGTTACCTTTGTAAGTAAACCATCTAATTTGAATTGACTATCTGCTATAACATATTTCTGAATATATCCATTAGTGTCTTTCTATTTCAATAAAAAAGGAAAAACCCTGCACACAAACAAAGCATGATTAAAACTATTTTTTTTAGTTTTCAACTTAATCAAACCAATAATAGATCTTTAGAAAATTTCTAGTGCTGGAAAAATGTTACTGCTTATGTTATAATATATACATACTAGAACACACCCGCGACATCGCGTGTCCGTGATTGAAGTAAAGTAACTACACCTTATTTTAAGCCTGAATTTTAGTATTCGTATTAGCATCTGATAAAGTCATGCTGATTAAAAGGTGTACAGTTTTCTCTGCTTTCAAAATCTTTCTGTTTGAACCCGTCTTGGTTTTCTTACTACAACCGGAAAATTCATGTGACAACGATTGTATTTAGTGGTGTTATTTCCTGTGTAATGACGAAGTTCAGGTGTAATTATGACCCGTGTTTATAGCAAATCCCAAACACTCCGTTTGGTGGTGCGCCTGACAGGGGTCGAACGCTCAGATTAGGTAACAGGTGACATATACTATTGGTATCGGTATCGGATTCGGATTCGACCCGGAACTTGTTAATTATTGGTAACATTAATTATGTGGAAAATAAAAGGGCCTGGAATGGTGTAATTTTTAATCAACACCATTGTCCTATATTAGTTATATATAAAGTTGAATTCTTTGATTCGTCGTTGTTCCGTCATGCCGGCTAGCAAATTGGACCTCGTTATTTTAGTATTATAGATATATTTAAATTAAAATCATCTCAAAATATTTAAAAACATATTACCTTGTTATCTCAAAATGTTTAATAATATATTTTACCTTATAAGAGGCAATATAAAGGATCTTTCCTTTTCCATTTTTAAATTTTAAATCTGTGTTTTAAAAAATTACCATTACCAAAATTTCAACGATTTACAATTATTTGATACGAAACAGTAGACATGAATTTAGTCAATAAGGTACGAAATGATATATGCAGTTGTCCGATATGGTACGAAATGGTTTTGATCATTGGTACCAAATGGCATATTCTAAGTACGAAATAGTATTTGAAGGTACAAAATAGCAAAGGTAAGAAATGGTTAGAGTACGAACTGACTAGCTTCCAGCTGGGACAATAAAAAAAAATCTAAAGAAAATAAACTGTAATAATTCTATATCGTACATGTATGATATCCGTCCTCACAACAAATGATTAAACAAATTTTTTAAAAGTTGGTTGGCAGCATAACTATATCTAAAATGGTACAAACAGAACAACCAAAATCGTATAAGGTTAATCTTGCCAGAAAGAGTTGCACCCTTTGTTTTAGCACGATTCAATACTTAAATAAGCTCGGAATAAACAATAAATATCATTTGAATTATACGAATACAGAAGTGTTAGAACTAGTTGGATGGTTGCATCTGATTATGGTTAACCAGTTGAGGAGTAAATGTTCTTTTGTTATCTTTCAAAAATTTCCTCTATTTCCTTTTATGACCTTTTCTATTGTATTTTGTTTTGTATTTCAGCTATTTACCTTGTATTGATTCTTACATTTGGAGCTGCATCAGTTGTCCTTACAATTTTTGTTTTGAGTGTACATTTCAAATCACAAGAAGATGAAATGTCAAAATGGGTAAAAAACACGACAAAGAAATGTCTTTTCAAAATTGCTGGTATGCAGAGTTGTTGTACCTGTAGCAGGAATCAAAATACAACAAAAGTCAAAGTTTTGAACCAATCTACCATTGCCAAAATGGCAAACAAATGTAACCCTCCAGTTGTTGAAGCAGTAAGAATGATGGACAATAAGCTGACCTGGGAAAAGCTATCCAAAATAATGGACAAAGTGTTTTTCAACATTAACATCGCCATGATTGTCATAGTTACAGTCTTGATGTTCTTAGCAATATTCGTTAATTACTTCACTTCTTAAATAATTCGTTTTATATATTGTTATTGTTTCGGAATCCATGGATTAACATAAGAAATATTATCAAAAAGAGGTAGAATTAACTGATTTCTATGCACTACCTGAAATGAAACCTTGAATATAAAGATACCAGGGTTATAATTGTGAACGCCCGACGCAAGTTTTGTCATCAAAAGACTCATGAGTGACGCTCAAATAAAAATAATTAAAATGGCCAAATAAACTATGTAGTTGAAGAGCATTTAGGACCGTAAATTCCGAAAGGTTTTGCCAAATGCATAAAGTTTTTTTGCTGTTTCATATTCATACTGAATTTTTCAAATGTTCATATCGGGTCCAGTAAGTCAATACACTTTGTCTACTTTTTGTTTTTAACTATTTAACCTAAACTTCATCGACCACTAACTTGCAAATAAAGATTTTGTCGTCTCTGAGGTTACAAGCATTGTGTATAATACTTTCAAACGCTTATAAAAATCGTTGGAAATTGTTAGTACCGTTCAGAAATTTTTTTACAAAAAAACGTGACACATTTGCTATGTTAGTGTTTGAAAATACCCAAAGTCTTTGGAACATAAAATGGTGTCCTATGAGTTCGTCTCAAAACATGAATGTTGTTCTGGGTTATCTTTTATCATCGAAACCAAAACAGCTTAGTTGTCATAAATCCACTAGTTCGTTCGTGTTCCCGCGTATTGTTTTACGGTAACCGATTGGGTCATTTTTACAACCGGCACGAGTTATATTTAGGGACCTACAAAGGGTACATGCTCTAACGCTTAATATTGAATATTCTTAAAATTTTTAAAATCTTATAAAAATAATTGGGTTTATTTGCATGATACACATCTGTTTTCAAACATTCAAAGTTATGAAATGAAATTAAGTAAAAATACACGTTAAAATGACCTGATTTTCTTCCTTTTTTGATGGAAGTTTTTTCCCCCATTACTTTTTAATACGTTAAGAAGACGATTCATGTCAAGTTACCTCATACGTTTCAATTAAAATTATTCAAAGGAAAATCAAGTTACTTTTTGTCAAGGGAAAATATATTAGAAATTGACCAAAAAGGGGGAAGAATGACATACTATATCATGTGTTATATGTTGTGTTTGGTATCAGAAAATTTCGATGCGATATACAATGATCTTGTCATATCACTGTCAGGAAGTTATTCTTTGGTTCCATTCTTTAGATGGACATTAAGCATTGTAATTTTTAAACTATGTAACCCAAAGTGTTAGGTCTTCAGTATCAAAATCAGGTAAATAAATATCTACAAACAGATTTTGTTTTATTATTATACAAACAAGCCGGGCAGTTCAACTGTATTGAAGTTATGATACAAAATGTATATGACCTTCGCATAACTAAACCCAGCAGTCGAGGAATTTAAAATAACCCAAAAAAAATTTTCACTTTCAGGGAACAATAAATATTTAGAACTTTAGTTTTTTTTATGTCTTAATTATTCAATAGGGAATTTGATAAATGTATGTTATAAATCATGTCACAACCGAAACACTAACTACAAAGCTCAAATATTCCTTGGCAGGGTTTGGATATACATTGTATTTTATGGGTTTGGTCAGCTCTTCAGCGTTTGAACAAGTTTTGTATTTTTCACATCAAGCATCACTGAAGAGCATTTATTTTCGAAATTGAATACCTACAATTCAATTGGTACCGTTAATGTACAACTCATCTGATGATACCCTCGGGGACAAACCGTTTAGCAGCAAAGGTATCGTCCATCATCATAGGAATATTGTATCTTTCAAAATTCACGTTCAACAAATAAAACATCTTTAAAAGGACTACAAATGTTATGTAAGGTTTTGTTACTTGTAATATTTAGTGAAACAAAGATACACGTTGATGAAAAAATCTAAAAAAATCTGGAGTCTGTAACTCGAAAAATGCTACTTTTGTCGCCTATGGGTAACATATTGTATTACTTTATACAACTGGGTGAAGACTGAGTACGATCTCATCACTTAAGTCATGATATAATTTCTATCTGAACTATGTTAGAGAAGTATATACGTTTTCTTGCTTCCTTTCTTCTTTAAATGCATTGACCGTTGATAATGAAACCTCTCCCAGATAACTTAAATTATCTAAAAACTGATAATTAAAATCTTTTAAATGAACGTCAATTTCTTACCCCTTTATAACAATAATCAGGTCAATTACTTTATAGTATCAAGAAAAGATATATTGTAACAAGCAAATAACGAGAACAAAAAATGTATTAGTTTAATGAAAGGACTCGTGAAATATAGTCTGATAGCTTTACAACAGCACAACCAATTTGGAAATCTTAATCGATGTCACCTGAAGATACTGCGGCGGGGCAATTCCTTTTCAAAAGGTAAAGTAAGCATACTGCTTTCTTTAAAATAATGTGTATATTTGTATTTATGTGTGTATGCATGCGTTTGTCTTTAAAAAAAAAACCCAATGACGTCAGGACATTCAAAATTAAGATTATAACAGTTTCTTCTAAAGATATGAATGACTAGTTTGTTTTGTTAAGAAAGTATTACTAGTATTTGTTGTCCACCGTGTACTGTTGTTACAGAAAGTTAATACAATAAACAGACTTTTCATTCGGTATATAAATATATCATGGTCAGGATGTAAAATATTGCCAGTATAGTACATGTCATAAAGAAATAGACCTACAATTTAAACTTTTATGTAATATTCTCTCTTATTTACTTGACGGGTCTAGTAGTTTGTATAACATTATTAATAATCGGAGATCTGGCATTATGCTACTCGTTGTTTTTGGTAAGTGATAGCACTTATTTTTTTCTAACTTTTTTATATTCACAAAATTGAACATATTATACTTACGAATTAATATTGAAAACTAATAACTGTAAATATCTTAACAAAAAGCAACCATTACGAAACAAACTTATGAAATAACATTTAAATATATAAATATAATGTACTTGTTAACCTGTAACTTTTTACTCTTTTTTACTTACTTTTAATGATAAGTATTATTTATAAGGTACTTGCATATTTATTTGCTACTAAAACTGAAAAAGATACAGACTTTTGGTCACCGGTGCATATTTTCTCATTGGCACATACCACATCTATCCCTTTATAAAAAAAAATTGATAACATTTTAAATTTAAGGAAAATACTTTGGAAAAAACGTGATTAGTATTAGAATATATATTAAAGTGTGATTAATTTTAAAATCGAATAAATATGTAATGACAGTTAATAAAAAAAACTAGGAACACGACTGTCATTTTGTATATATCGAGAAAAACAAGTTGTTTTTTTAAAACAAAAAGACAATACGTGAACCTTAGAACTTTTTCATTCTAATTATTTATTCAACTGAATAAGAAATTATATATCAGTGTTATCTTGGCCATGTGTGTGGAGGATAATATTTTCTTTTTATTGTAAATCATTACAATTTTGGCATGTTGAGAGAAGTGTTAAATATAAAGCAAGGAGAGAAAAAAAAAGATTCCCGTACGTATAATTTCTTAAAGAATAATAATAATTCAAAACATGGAGGACACATGTACCTTCTTCCAAAAATTCATAAAAATTAATCTAGAAATAAGTAATGAGGCATCGCGAACTGGTCAGCTAGCAGGACACATTAATGTTCGTTACTGACCAATCATCAATAAGTGTAACTCTCCCGCGAGAGATACTTACTTGATCTAATTATAAATATAAAAAAGAAAATGTGGTATGATTGCCAATGAGACAACTCTCCACAAGAGACCAAATGACACAGAAATTAACAACTATAGGTCACCGTACGGCCTTCAACAATGAGCAAAGCCCATGCCTCATAGTCAGCTATATAAGGCCCCGAAATGACAAATGTAAAACAATTCAAACGAGAAAACTAACGGCCTAATTTGTGTACAAAAAATGAACGAAAAACAAATATGTAACACATCAACAAACGACAACCACTGAATTACAGGCTCCCAACTTGGGACAGGCACATACATACAGAATGTGGCGGGGTTAAACATGTTAGCGGGATCCCAACCCTCCCCCTAACCTGGGACAGTGGTGTAACAGTACAACATAAGAACGAACTATAAAAATCAGTTGAAAAAAGCTTAACTCATCAGATGGATACAAACAGAAATACTACACAGAGTGGACGTGGCCGGGTACTTGTATATCCTAAAACAAATAGACACTACGTACAGATCTGAGAGTACTCGCAGTTACTGACAGCTAGTTCAAAGCCACTAACAACTAATTAAAAAAAATCATGCATCTAAGACTAAATTATCAATTAGTACACACCCAACATTCAATTATTGAAGAGGCATAACTTTTACATTCAAGATACAAAAAATTTCATTAATAAAATTGAGTCACACGAGGTAAAAAAGTATGCATTCTTATTGCCTATGATGTACGTCAATGTACACAAATATGATCATTGATAATTTAGAAGAAACTGTTATCAATGCATTAGAATTTATTGACACACAGGGGAATATACTTTAAAGATTCTAAACAAAATAGATTTAACTGCATTTGTTAAATTAATTCTTAGAAACAATGAATTGAGTTTAATGGACTGTTATACAAACACATTTTAGGAGCGCCCATTGTCACCAACATGTACAGATCTGCATCTGCCTGCCCTATTCATTAAAATCTTAGATAAGTTCCAATGGAGAGAAAACATCAAATTACACTGTCAATAGGGATGACGGTGTTATGGTCTTCACAGGCAAATTAGAGCAAGTTGAAGATTTCTTTAAACTTGCAAACGAAATTGACCATCTTCTTAAGTTCTGATATGAGGTGTCGACATCTAGTATGGCCTATTTAGAGGGTAGTAAAGGGTTATTTTCGTGCAACGTTTTCGGACTTTTTATTTCACGTGTTTCCGTGTTTCGACGTTTTATTTCTCGTTTTCTCGTGTTTGGTTCGATGTGCGTGCTTCGTGTTTTCCCTTAATTATTTTCCGTGTTTCGTGTCGGTACTCTTATTTTCTCGTGCTTGTCCCGCATTTGATTAAAAAGTAAACCGGGACTAATTCAAAGTCAGCCCAAATATTGTTTTAAATTATAAACTAATTAACTGGTCCCACGATATTTATTAATAGCCTATTGTATTACTATGATAAATCGGATGCAACTAACGGACGCTAAAAGGTGACCACATGCAGGGTCACCATGTCAATTTATAATGACTGCATGATCTCCAAGAACGGCTGAGTAATAACTTTTGTTACTTTTTTCCTTAATATTTACGATTTTATTCCTTGGCTTCGTTTTTCCAGAGTGGTTTTTTTCCGTGGAACGTTTTTTCGATTTGTTATTTCACGTGTTTCCGTGTTCAGACCCTCCATTTTACCACCCTCTATTTAGAAACCGAAGTGTACAAAAGTGAACGATTCCATAATAATGGAATTCTTGATGTTAAGTCACATATATTAAAAACACAGAAACGTATCAATATTTACCAATCACTAGTGCACATCCAAAACACACATAAATTTAAGAGCATTACAGTGTGTGAATAATATAAGAAATTTCTACTTCTACCACTAAGTGACCACCGTCATTTGGTTGACTATCCTGTCACTGTTTGGTGTGCGCTTGCATATTTAACAAGTCCAAAAATAATTTTAACAGAAAGCAAATAATTTGTGCAGTACATAACATTTATACATGGTGCAAATAAAAACATGGGACTTGAAATTTAATGTGCATGCAGTAGTCTCTTGAACGAGTGACGACTTTCTGCAGCGGTCACTGAAATAATAGTGACATCAATGAATTAAATAAACATTTAATTAACTTACAAGATAACTTAATTGATAGAGAATACTGTAAAAAGGAAACAGTAAAAGTTGTAAAAATGTATATTAACAAACAGTCTTTATTTTACTTGTTTTATTTTCATTTGAAACAGATTGTTTTTTATCTGATTTGTCAAAATGACAAGTGTGCATAATGATTTTATTATTACAAATCAAATCCCAAAGCCCACTATAACTCATTATGTAGAAACCACAGCACTATTTTAAAATATCTCTCTGTAAATATCTAGACACAGATGTTTGATACCATAGGTCGTTATAATTAATTCTTGACCATTTAACTTCCACTTTTTTATCAAAGGGTACAACTGTCAACTTTGCTCAAGTCAGTAAATCCTTGCAATGCATAAAATGTAGCTTTACAATAAATATACATGTTTGAAAAGGATCTATAGATTGTTTATTATCATATATCAGATAAGTGAATTAGCGATCTGTGACTATTCTTTATTGCCATATTTTAAATACCTAAGGTACACCGTATGGGGGTGCTCTTAATTGCAGGAAGCTAATACAAATAAGATGAATAGGTGTTCCGAATGAACAATAATTTGGCTTCCGAATATTCCTCCATAGACTATATTTCTAACTAATAAATATGCGTGAACCCTCAGGGGTTCACGCAATAATCGTGAAGGAATAAGTAAAGATGGTCAATCATTGCGATCGGATAGTGTAAGATCTTGTATGATCGGAACCTGAATGCAATTAGATACAATTCAACTTCAATATTTTTGAAAAAAATCTGCTAAACTTCTATTATCAAAAGGCGGGAAAAATCAGAAAAAAAAGAAGTATGGCTGTCAAAAAGGTTCAAATCCCTCTACAATACTTTGCACTATTGGAAAAGAATAAATTTAGTACATTTTTTAAGAAAACACAAAAGGCGACACACAACACTATGCGAATCATCAAAGAAAAGCCCGTTTTGAATCTATAGTGATCACATTCCAATAATCTTGATTAATTCACAAGGGGGGGGGGGGGGGGGGGGTTGGATAAACAACATATATTTTAAACGTCTACCGCTTTCATCCTTGATGAAACCTATATACATAATTGATAACTGTTAAATACTTGAGAAAAACATTCTTATTTATAAAATATATATAAATAATAAACACATTAAATAACAGGTGCCCCGATTACGTTACGTGACTTTACATCGATATTTTCTCCTCATGACGTTTACCGCCATAAGCATGGAAATGTCATGGCGGGTCACATATTTAGACCTGTTTTCACTTAGAGGCAATAATAACTAGACACACAAGATTAGAAGGCCACCAGGTTCCTAACTTGTCGAAAAATAAGTATAGTTGTATCTATAATGCTAAATGCATTTGCAATGCGAGAAGTGGTCTGGGGATGTTCATTGGAAAGACATTGAATGTGAACGCAGCTTCGTTTTTTGCCTGAGAGTTGTTAACACTTGGCATCCTACCGTACTATCATTTTTTTTTTGGAGTATCATACGTAAATTGATTCTCACCATAGTACCCAACTAGGTGGTGACAATACCAACGTACGTACCGCAAGTGTTTAGGGATTGATCCGATAGCTTGGCCTGTAAATTTCCAGATCGTCACAAGTCTGCATTCGCTTGCCTTGTGATGCATGCATAGCAGAGGACGCTAATGTTGTGGACACATTCGGCCTCGCCCAGTTTGAAGATAATTAGTTGCCATTGATTGCAGTAGAAATCCAATCACATAAAGATGAAAATCATAATTTGTTAATTTTTTATATAATAAGTAAAATTTTTACATTTCTCCCCGATTTTCACATGCAGCAAATTCTAAATGCCCAGTATCAATTTAAGATAATATATTATACATACTTATCATTTTTCTTTGAAATTCTAGCTCAAAAAGATATTCTCAAAATTTGTGAGGTTTTTTAACGTAAAAGAATGATTTTTTACCACAATGTTTCCCGCTTTTATTTTTTTACAAAAAATCGACAAGGATTTTCCTCTTATCGATGTAGATAACGTTACGGTTCATGCAAATGATTGATATCAGTTGGGGCAATCTTGAATTCGACATAAAAATGTTGACGGCTGGATTGATTGATTGGTCATTTGGATTCACATCTTTTTCACAGCAATTTAAAGCTGGAACTATTGTACAGACACCTCTCTATTGTTGAAGACAATGTGTTGCCCACATGATTGGGTTTTTTTATCGTTCAGTTGCTGCCTCAATGATGTTTAACTAACAGCTCTTTTTTTATCCATAAACATTATATAATAAGAACTACAAACAAGTCAGACATAAAACAGGTGTTCTTCTCTGTAAGTCTTAACCTTTTGAACGCCTTTGTTTTTCAATGAGCTAATCTGACTGAAGGAGATTTAAGGTACCACTATTTGGTCCGTTGTCCATATGTTGTTCATCACTTAACATTTTAATTATAATCACTGAACAAATTTTGACCTGGTTGTTTTAAATCAACCATGGGGCGTCAGCTTTGAATGTATAGAACCACTAATTCGGGCATACAAGAAAGTGTTACATATTTTTAACAAAATAGTGCCTACACATTGCTGAAACTTTGTCAATAAGTAAATTATTTAGGTAGTTTTGGTATCAAATAAAAGCTTAAGGACTTGGGCTCCTTCTTAGAAAAAAACTCTTAACAGATCGGAGAAATATTACAAATTCTTTGATAATATTTCATGTAAATTCTTGATGTCAACAGTGAGTACATTTTCAGTAAAACCGCGTAATCTATGTAATACATTTATTTAGCATAATATCCATTGTAAACTGTCATAACTCTAACTTTAAGCTGAAACCGGACGGACGAACAGACGATCGGTCGGGCTAATTGACGGGCGTTCAGAAGGGAAAACATAATGGTCAAAACTATTTTAGGCGGGGTATAGAAATCATTTATTAAGATCGAGTGTGCATGATTATCTTATTATTTCCAGGAATAATAACATTGTTATGCTTACCGGTTGAATATGCTGTATTAAGCAATTCAAGATATACGATTGACTTGGAATCGTCACTTAGGAGAGAATTGTTTACAACAAACAGCTATGAAGTGCTACAAAGACCTGAAGAACAAGTTTTTGTAAGGATAAGTATGACTATACTCACAGTTAATAACCTGGTGAGTATAATAACTGCCACTTACACTAAGTCTGGCTTTACTCAAAGTTTACAATCTGGTGAGTATAATACAATGCCATTTACACTAAGTCTGACTATACTCACAGTTAACAATTTTGTGAGTATAATACAATGCTACTTACACTAAGTCTGGCTATACTCACGGTTAACAATCTGGTCAGTATAATACACTGCCACCTACAGCTTCCAAATTGTGAACTTTCCATTTCTATGTAGCAACATTCCAGCAGCGCCTGCATACGGAGTATATATCTCATAGTTGATACGATATTCCAGGTCTTGTTTTTCCTATCATAAATTCCTTGAAAGATGGTTACTGCTCACAAGGAAGCTATTAAACCAAGCGTTCCAAGTGGTGAAGTTGAAATCATCCCTTCGTAAGTTTCAAGGACACCATCACGAGTTGGTTGATCGTTATGGAATATCCGTTTCACATATGATAGCGGATATGTTCCTAATGTCGTAACTACAATCCCGTCCCCTTTTCCCGAATGTGACCTACCGAATTAGACTTATTACTGGGTTTGTACTAACATGAGCAACACGACGGGTGCCACATGTTGAGCAGGATCTGCTTACCCTCCCGGAGCACCTGAGATCACCCCCAGATTTTGGTGGGGTTCGTGTTGCTCAGTCTTTAGTTTCTATGTTGTGTTTTGTGTACTTATGTTTGTCTGTTGGTCTTTTTCTTTTTTAGCCTTGGCGTTGTCAGTTTATTTTCGACTTATGAGTTTGAATGTCCCTCTGGTATCTTTCGCCTCTCTCTTACAATAAGTCTGATTATACTCACAGTTAACAATCTGGTGAGTATAATACAATGCCACTTACACATTTTTCTTAGATTTGTGGAAATGTGGTTGTAATGAATTTTTGTTTAAGATCCAGTGACAAATATCATGTGGTTTGAATCATTATATGCTGTGTACAAAATGAAAGTAACACTTTATGAATTTCTGGATTTACTTTCATCAGGTACGCTCAAAACCAAATATGAGATAATTCAAATGTTCCTTTTTCAAAGTTTTTTCCCCTAAAAAATGTTTGGTTTTAGTAATCAACTTTTTGGATTGTCACAGTTCTTATAAACTGATCAAATAAACTCCAAATCGAAAACGGAATTTATGTGACCAATATTCAAGTACAACTCAAAAAGACTTTATTCAAGCTAAAAAGTTACAAAAATGTGATAATATAAAAAGAGTCACAATTTTAAATAAAGGAAAAAATCCAATATCCACTGTATTAAATAACAAATGTTCCGTTGTCCAAATTTAGAATTCAAAAGTTTTGAAACCATTACTTTGGATTTCAGGATATTAAAGACCAGAGTCTGTCAATATCAGGATATTTATCTGTGGTAAGTAATTTTTACCCATATTGCAATTACCTTTATCATTCAAATTTGTTTAACCTTAAACATGTACTAAAATTCCTAAGTTTAATTAATCAAAGGTAATATTGTCAAAACAATTTAATTCTCCAAGTGTCAACTTTTTTCAAACGAACGATGGCACGGCACGTGGAAACAAACAGATTCGATGCAATTCAGAGCTTGATATATATAGACACTTGAAGAATATGCTTCTCTTTAATCAAGGTTATCTTATAATATATTCTAGGCTGAAATGTTTCAGATTCATTTATACTAATGTTGTATCGAACAATGAAACTATTGGAATTTCTATATTTGTTTATGTGTATCAAATACTATGGTACTTTTCCTGCTTCAGATTTGTTTGCTTAATTGATCAAATCGACTGATATCACTTTTATAGGTATGGGACGACAAAAGATTAGATTGGACTAATCCTTCGACTACAACATTGAATTATTCCAGTGTTAATTATTTGTTCAGCAATGAAGTGTATGTTTGGAGACCGGCTATCGTAATCGAAAATTCGTAAGTTTGATATGAAATATATGCATATCAAGAATCTAATAAAAAGTCAATATTGATGCAATAACATAAAAAAAATTAAAGTTCATTTCTTAAGTAAAAAAAATAAGCTGAATATATATATTCTGGACTTAGTTTTTTATTCACCGTTTAACAAAGTTTTGTCATTTATCCTCATTTATCACAATAGAAAATACCATTTCTGTTTTCCCAGTTTACTCTGCTCTGTGTCCTAGTATCGACGAATGTTATCAAACGTACAAACCATAAAACACAAAATTCTAACATTTAATGTGTACCGCGTATTTAAATATTTCCAAAAGCAAACAAAAATAAACGTAAAAAATAAACAAAAATAATGAGTGCTAAGGAAATAAAAGAAAGTACAAAAATAAACAAAAAAAGATGTATGTTAAAGAAATACAGGAAATAAATTTTCTTTTGAATCTATAACATTCAGTTGTAATTTCAGGGTTCGTAACTTGGGCGTTATCAGCGACACGTCTATTCCAATGCGCATAGTAAAAAATGGACAAGTCGTCTGGAATCCATCAGGAGTTTTTGAAGTAAGTTGTGATTCTGATACAAGATTCTATCCCATAGACACACAAGAATGTACCATAAAAGTAAGCTCCTGGGCATACACTTCTACGGAGGTCGAATTGTTTGTTGAAAGTGATCCTGTAGACTTTAGTTTCTATTCTGAAAATGGCGAATGGAGTCTCATTTCTTCATCCGGAAACAAAATAAGCGACAGTTCCAGAGGAGGAAGTTCTTTTTCCAGCGTCAGCTTCAGTATTAAACTACAGCGTCGTCCAATGTTTCATATTATAAATACTCTTTTTCCAGTCGCATTGTTGGCAGTGTTAATAGCAATGGTCTTTAAACTTCCGGTAGATTCTGGTGAAAAGAATGGATTTGCTCTTACAGTTCTTCTTTCTTATGCCGTGTACCTGACCTTAATATCAGACAACATTCCGAGTACTTCAGTTTCAATTTGTTATCTCTGTAAGTATATAAATATATGTAAGTATAGGTAATCTATAAATTACTAGTAGATTATTAAGTCAGGGATATGTTACCACCAATTACTTAAAACCTTTACTAAATTCTTCCATACATACAAAGATTTGGTTTGCAAGTTTGGCTGTACCTGTAGAACACTTATTTCAAACGGAATATCACATCCTAAATTTTTACGGTGATGTTGTTAACCGAGCACAGAAATTTAGATACGATCCGGGTAAACTTATCAATCCTTTAAATAAACTTATTCTAAAAGGTTACCAATTCAACACTGTAATTAATTCTTTGAATATTGTTTTTATTGGAATAAATATTGATTTTGTTATCAGTAAATTAAAACCATACTAAATATTATTGTTATACACATATGTACTTTCACGTTACTACAATCTGTCGATACCTATATTTTGGAATTGCACAAGGTCATGTTTTTCTCTGACTGCTAAATTCATTGGATGTTGAATGTGTACTGATTGATATTTTACTCTAAGATACATGATTTTTTTTATTAGTTGTTATTGGCTTTGAACGAGCTGTCTGTAACTGCGAGTACTCTCAGATCTGTACTTAGTGACTTTTTGTTGTTAGGTATGAGGGGTAGATGCCACATCTAGTCTGTGTTATTGTTTGATGCTTTTCTACTTTGTATTGATTTGGTGAGTTAAGATTTTTTCAACTGATTTTTATTGTTTGTTATTTTGTGCTATTACGTCACTGTCCCCAAGTTAGGGGAGGGAGAGGGGGTTAGTGCTCACAAACATGTTTAACCCCGCCACATTCTGTATGTGCCTGTCCCAAGTCAGGAGCCTGTACTTCAGTGGTTGTCGTTGGTTCATGTCTGTCATATTTGTTTTTCGTAAATTGTTTTGTTATAAATTAGGCCGTTGTTTTTCTCAATTAAATTGTTTCATATTTTTCATGTCGGGGAATTTTATAGCCGACTATACGGTATGGATTTTTCTCATTGTTGAAGGCCGTACAGTTGGCTATAATTGCTTACATCCACTTCCTTTGAATTTTGGTGGATAGTTGTCTCTTTGGCAATCATACCACATCTCCTTATTTTCATATATATGTAAGTATATGAATATATGTATGTGTGTTTTGAAATATATCCAAGAAAACAGATTAGAAAATAGAATTGGTTAAAATTGAAGAAAATTTAACTGAACATTAAATAATTCTTTTAATTGTAAAGGTTTTCCATTATCAAAATCTTTTAGTAGACACTTTTCAATAGTCCCGAGTATGCATCAAATATTTGCAACTTGACCTTAAGCAAACAACAATCAATCAATCGGTTTGTTTTGTTACGTTATCTGAGGTTTTACACTAAAATCCTGTCGTACGCAGTGAAATTGATATTGTTTTCAATTAATTTTAACATGACATAAACCGAATGCAATCCACAACTTAAAGTAAATCTTTATCAAAGGTACCAAGCTTATAATTTGGTAAAAATGCTTTTAATTGCATTTATTAATTATTTTTTTATAAATAGTGTTTTATTATCATGATTTTTGGCTTGACAATCTGATAGAAAACACTGATTTGAAATGTAATATTATATGTTGAATGTAATGCCTTTACTCCGAGCAATTATCCTGCTTACAGCTGCCTATAATATACGATTGAATCTATTATTATTATATTTCAGCCTTATATTTAGCATTTATTTTGACGCTAGGAGCAATATCAGTAGTCTTAACTATAATTGTGCTACGTCTCCACTTTAAAACAGAAAACACAGTAATACCAAAATGGCTAAAGACATTAACGAAAACAGTTTTAAGAAAAATGGCTTTCATGGCACCTTGTAGAAAGGAGTTTAAGGTGAATGATATTCAGAACTTAAGTACTGCAGACATCATAAGTATTGATGACGTTCAAGGCTATAAAAATGATCCAATCAGAGTTATGAAGAAGGAAAATATTACATCAATACCAGACACAACAGAAAATGCGGAATCCGAGTTAACATGGCAAGAGTTGGCAATAATAATGGACGCTGTTTTCTTTAATATATATATTGCACTTATCACCATAACAACCATACTGTTATTTATAACGTTTACTATTCATTATAACATTTAAGGCGATTAATACAGTAGTATAATAATTCATTGCTTACTAAGAAAAATAAATCATGTGTTGGTTCCTGTAAATAAATTTACTTATCTTAAAAGTTTGATATCTGCTTGTGTGAAAAAAGTAAGAAAATACCAAGAAAGAAGTCGAATATAGACAGAAGATACAATGGCTAAAAGACAAAAGGCGAAAAGACAAACACGATTCGATAGAAAGCTACACAAAAAAAAAAATTAACAACACGAGCACAACAAAAAAAGGGTAAACTCAGGAATTCTGACGTTCTCCGTAAATGGCACCTGTTATGCTGATCAGGACAAGTAAACATCCAGTTAAAAGTAACATTCGGTGATGAAAGATCAAGCAAAGTATGACGATTTCTAACGATGACAATGGAAAATATCCTCGGTCATCTGTAATACAAATATCCCGTACGTATGATGAGGGTTATGTTCTTCTCGTACGATTTATGATGGCATGATACTAAAACCCCAAACGGGAGGGATTGTGGTTGATTTTAATATGATGAAGACATAATCTTTCAATCAGTTTAATTGAGGTCTGGAGCTGGCATGTCAATAATTGCTAGTAGTCCTTTGTATTTTTATGTTTTTCATTGTCGTATTGCTTAGTTTATGTTGTTACTTATTCTAACATCGGAATTGGACTTCTTTTAAACTGAGTTTTACTGTGCGTTTTGATGTGTGTTTGTTTATTCCACATTGGCTAGAGATATAAGGAGAGGACTGAAGTCCCACAAAACATGTTTGACCCCGCCGCATGTTTACGCCTGTCCCAAGTCATGAACTTCCAGCTTTTGTCTGTCCCTAGTCATGAACTTCTAGCCTTTGTCAGTCTTGTGTGTTTTTTTAAATTTTGGTTCATTTGTATGTTTCGGAGATTGTAGTGGCGGCCATTTCGAACTAGTATACATTATTTTTTAGGGGCCAGCTGAAGGCCGCCTGCGGGTGCGGGATTTTCTCGCTGCGTTGAAGACCCATTGGTGGCCTTGGGCTGTTTTCTGATCTTTGGTCGGGTTGTTGTCTTCTTGAAACATTCTCCGTTTCCATTCTCTATTCTATTCAATGGTAATTGTCATATTGATAAACTTTTACATCAAGTATCATTAAAAATTGTTTATAGGCACCTGAAATATCTCTTCATAAGTTATGAACATATCTAACTTACATACAATTAACACATTTAAAAAAGTAAATATCAAAAGAGGATCATTTATACAACTAACTATACAATACACATAAAATGGATTTGCACTTTTTGAAACGTTTTCAAAATTCTACGATAACTAAAGAAAATTTAGAAAAACTGAAGCATTTAACATATCTTCTCTCTGAATATATCATACGTTGTACAGGTTACCAGTGAGCATTACACAACGTTCCGATTCAACGTTGTTCCAAATAACGGTTCAGGCGTTCAAGCTAGTATTAATGTAAATGCAAATGGTTATCTTATTTGGTGTTCCGGAAATTTATGCCAACTTTTTACTTATGCGAAAATAGTTTTGAAAGACCAATTTAATAGAATGTGAATACGTGCCACCAAATTTTATAGAAGATTAAAACAAACTATAATGTTTATACTAAAATGGAAAATACACCAAATGTCAAATCGTCATCATGCATGGGCATCATTTTAAACGAAAATCTAGCTTCTTTCTTTGCTAACACAGCATGAAATGACCTCTTCAGCTTGACAAATGCTTTTTGTATTTTCTGGTTCGTGACAATAAAATTAAGGCTAATGGACAGAAAATGAACCGTTCATAGAATTATTTCAAATTTTGTACTCGAACACATATTGAATTAATGTACATAAAAATTTACGGTATGGGTCTTCATCCGTGCGGTGAACTAAAGTTGACTACAATTGTACTCTGGTGAATAGATATCTCATTTGCAATCATTCTATATCTTTTCAATTCTATATTAACTGTTACATGTACAAAAATATGTTTAGAAAAGAAAACATGAAAGTTTGCTAAAACACAGAGCAAACTGTGCCAACTAAGAACTATCCAAGACTGTAAGCACACAAAGACAAAAACATATACAGAATAAAAAATGGGGAAGCTAGTTTAAGTGACATAAGTTTGAAAAACATACAGTCTTCAACACTGTTCAGTCCCCTATCGTTGCGTATATCCTCGCATTTCGATCTTCAGGAACACGCACATATGCACACGTATAGAAGGTATTGATTTGCATTTGAAAGCAGTTGCTGAATGATGAGTTACAGATTGAGTTAAAGTGTTTCACTGCGTCGAATCTACTTTAAATGAATTATTTGCCCTTGACAAAGAATCCGCGATTTCAACTGTCCCTTACCAGTTATTATTATGTCTTGATACCAGCTTGCTCTGTTAGTAATCTTTATCATCCAGCCATTATAATGCAAAACAGTCTTCAAAAGACTAGGCATTTGTCCTTTTTAGTTATTATCACAATGGTGTCATTATTTTTTATTACAGATTTTGCCACTACCCACTTTTTTACTTTTACTTTAGGGGTCCCAACCCATATAGAGCTATACTAAACTATCCTTACCCCTAAACCTTACCCTAATCCATAACTAAAACCAACACTATCCCTAATCATAAAAACTAATCCTAACCTAGAACCTCCTCTAACCTAACCATAACCACATGAACCCCAACTAAGTATAGGGACCCCTAAAGTAAAAGAAGTCCCCTTTTCCAGAGAAAGTGCATAAAAACAAAATGGATCCTCATCAAAACACAAAAAACGGAGTCCTTGTAGTTTCTATACATTATACGCAATGAATAAAAAAATCAAATAGAATTGATACCGGGAATTAATTCATTTATCTAAATAAAATCAGTAGGATTCAAGGTTGACAAACAAAATGAAGTGCGTTTTTTTATTTTCCTAATTCAACGTTAAATAGGAGTCAAATTCAGGTTAATTTCTGGGTGCATTGACTTTTTCAATTGTCTAAACACTATTGATACACTAAAAGAGGATTGATGAAATAATTAGAAAATGACATAGCACTACATTAAAAAGCAGTAATTGTTTATCTTAAACTATTTGCACAATTCAATGTAAATGGGTAAATCAAAAAATCCTTTATCAAGTTAAGTACATTAATATGTTTGTTTACTTCATTCAATGGAAAGATATTCATTTTTTATCGAGCTAACTGATTTAAAACATTTATTATTATTAAAGTAAGAATGTGTGGTATGATTGCCAATGAGACAACTATCCATCAGACACCCAATGACGTAAATTTTATCAATTATAGGTAATCTTATGGCTTTCAACCATGAGCAAAATCATGGACAAATAAATTTTTGCTCAAAATGGTCTCAATATATTTCTCTTTCACAAAAATTTCATATCTGCAAATTTGTTTGTTACTTTAAGTAAAAACTGACATCAAAAGCACTATATTTTTTCAGGGAAGGGCTACTTTTATGTTCTAAATTGGAGTGGGTAAATTGGCGGTATGACAACTAACTATAGACAAGACAAGACAAGACAAGACAAGACAATATTTTATTTAAGTCTCACCTCTTCATTTTATAAAACATACAAATAGTTAATAAAACACAATCATAAAACATACAAGAGCCACTCTAAAAAGAGTATATCAATATTGTTTCCTATATAATAATAAGAAGATGTGGCATGATTGCCAATTAGACAACTTTCGACTAGAGGCCAAATGTCTATTTCTCTATCATATTTCTGCTTTCGTCTTTGTGACATTATTGTTTGTATCTAACATATCCAGGGTACATGTACGAATCTTTCATGAAATCATATACTATTTACAGGTTCTTTTTTTTTCTAAAAAAAACAAACCATGAACATTGGCAATCTTCTTTTATACATCACAGTTCCTTATGTCAATAAACTCTTCATAGATACCATGATCAAAATTGTGTACGCCAGACGCGCGTTTCGTCTACAAAAGACTCATCAATGACGCTCGAATCAAGAAAGTTAAAAAGGTCAAATAGAGTACGAATTTGAAGAGCATTAGGACCCAAAAGGTTTTGACAAATACAGCTAAGGTATCCTTTTCCTGGGGTAGAAAATCCGGAGCATTTCGAAAAATTAAAAAAAACAGTTAATTTATCATTATTATCATATCAGTGATAACTCATGTCAACACAGAGCAGAACAGAGGAAATGTTATTGTCTCCTTATGACGACAAATGGTGGAAAATGGTAATCAATTACTTACCCACAGGAAATGTAATTTACTTCAGGCGTATTACCAATTTTAGAACAAGACATAGAAAGTTTTTTTTATTGAAAAATTCTGAGACTACTATAATTGTTATCTTAGTAAAAATTAATAATTTTTATATTATTTTTTTAAATCATTAAAAGCGAAAAGAAATATAATGCAATTTATAAACAAAAGGTGGTACAAAAGAGGATTTGTCATTGAAATTGTCATCATAAAGGTAAAGGCACTTTTTGTTTTGCATATACAATCTCCCAGTGATGACTAGATTTACGATAATACATTAATGACATTTTGTTGTTAAATGTTCTCACTTACTTGATTGATTTTATAACTACAATTCATTCATAACTCCATAGAGGAACCAGATGAGCCGAAGAGATGTGTCAGTTTGAGTGTCTTGTGTGGGTTGGGAGGAACAATTAGTTTATTTACAGAGATCGATATTTCTTCAAACAATATAAAAATTATTCACATACTATCAGATTATTGTTTTTAGCTTATCATTGACACAGAATGAGCCATCACCGTTTGTCGTGTGAATTCAGATAACTATTGTGGGACACATGAATCTATAAAAATGATTTTCAATACGACAGCAATCCAACGAATATTATAACCAAAAGAACATCTATAGAGCTATATATAGTCTTCAACGATAGACGAGTTTTTCTTTACAATATGTATTTATAAATCGTCCAGGGTCTATAAAAGTTGTAAATATATTTAAAAGAGACCATTAAAGATCTGCCCAATACGCTAATTGAGAAAAAAAAGATATATTGTTTTTTTTTTTTAATTCAAGTGATCTTATCAGAATCATGATAATATTAAAATGA